AGCCCCAATATTTGATACAGTCCTTGCTACATGTCCTCATGGGAGAAGCATTTGTGGCTGCTCACAGAACCTGTTGTGGGACACACTTTGTTTGCTCTCATCCTAAGGACAACACAGACAGGAAAACATAAGAGCAATCCAGAGCAATAGTAGCATTTCCGAATATTCAGGTAATATATGATTGACGTGTTTTCGTGTGTATAACATCAGAACAGCTGTGCATCTTGCAAATAACAATGACATCATCTAAGTAGATTTCAAATGCATGAGATACTTTTCCCCAGTTTTGCAAAGGCAATTCTCTTTCAGCTGGTGCAAGAGCCATACTAGGTAGTAAGGGAAGTGAGGCACTGACACAGGTTGTTCAGAGAAGCTGTGACTGTCCCATCCAGGCCAGGTTGGATGGGGCTTGGAGCAACCTGGGCTAGTGGAAGGTGTCCCTGCCCATGGCAGGAGGGTGGAATTAGATGATCTTCAATATCTCTTCCAATCCATGATTCTATGATAACATTTCAACAGTTCCTGGAGGCTGCAAATCATCCTTTCTAGAGATACCTTCCAGGGTTTGGGTCAGAAAGGGTGTTGGGGTGTGCTGAATAATTCTAACCTCCATAGATGTGTATGCAAGAAGATGAATGCTGAAAGAGGGGCTGGAAAAATTTACTTCCATTCTCTTTAAGCACTGATATTATTCTACAGGCTGCAATATTATGGATAGATTAATTATTCTAATTTAAATAGGATGGATTTTGTTTGTTTGAGTTTTTCAACATCTCTCAAAGATGCTAATTTTCAGATGAGTTATTCTTTTATTCATTAGCATTAAGAAAGAGGCGAGGAGTAAAAATAGGTTGAGAAGGAAAAAAATCAGAAAACCAAACTAGAAGTCTAATATACATTTAAAAATATGAAAATATAGCTAATTATTCTTTGATAATAAGTATAATTTTTGAGAAATGTCAGTCTATTGCCCAAGTTCTATTTTGAGCCCTCCCTGTTGTCTTTCCAGGTAAACCAAAGAAAGCAGGTACATCCACACACTCACTCTCCTTTCAAAGAATACTATTCTAACACAGCTCCATATGAAGTGTGACTCAATATCTGCATCATTGATGGCACTGATACAGAGTGATTCTAAAATATAAATTGTGCACCAAACCCCATGCTGGAATACGTCATTTAACATCTTGTAGTTGCCAGAATAACACAGAGAGACTGAGCTACTCTCCTACTCACATCAAGTGACTGAGCTTGCTCATTCACTAATTGATCCTCAGGAAGGAAGCTCTCACCTGGCTCCAGTGCAGCC